TTTTTATTTAATCGTGAATTCTTCAAATCTCAAACACAAACGACATGAATGAGGAGAAAAATTCTAGTTATTTTCTCTTATACCGATACAAAAATCTTTCTGAAATCCTACCTTGCTATGAACATCTAATTCATTTCCGTGCACTTTTGTGATGAAAGGTGTGATCTGCTTAACTCAGTACTTGCACAAAGTTAATGTCGGCCATAGCGCTTTGAATTATTTTCTCTCCTCCAGCAGAAAAGAGTTCATTTAACAGTTTTCTTCCCTTCTTGAGGTTAAAAGTTTAGTTAGCTTTAGCCTGCAGGGAAGCATAACAACATGTCTTTTGGCTGCTAGCCTTAAAACCCCGCTGAATCTTTTCATGTGTGGAAATTAAAATTAAATTGCTTYCATTTTTTATTTTAGAACCTGAAGTTTGACGTCTACCATACTTTTTGTAGTGAATAAAAAAAAGGCCTTATCAAATCTTTTTTCCAGAGATAAGCRTAATAATCAGTAAAAAAAAAAGTCATAATGAAAATGACAACAGCCGTTCTGGGAGGAGAAAAGCTCAGCACCTGACACACTCTAAGTTTATTTGTACCCATCTGAGAGCGAGATAAGCCTCAGTCTACGCATCCATCTGACAGCTGACATTTAGTGTAAATACTGCAGCCCCTGCTTACAATCTACTTAGGTATTTCTAGTTTTATATATATATTCATGAATATTTTTGGATATAAAGCCTAACTCAAACACAAACAAGACCTATTTAGGTAAAATATCAGTGATGCTTGCCGTTTTTTTTAAACACAGGTTAATAATAACATCTAAAGAAGTAAAGCAACGTCAGTTCTTTAAAACTACAAAACATAAAGACATGTCACAGACTAGGGTTAGGCTACACTTGATTCTAAATGTACAGGTTTTGAACTGATTTAAGATGTGATGAGTGTTTTTTTTTTTTACCTTGGGTTTGACTGAAGCAAAGGGTTCATTTCCTCCTGATAGTGATGCCCCTGATTCACTGGCTAGATGGGGGGAAAAAAGTCAGAAGATGCTTTCAAATGTCACCAATACTCAACCTTCMCTCATTTCTTAAAATTCTAATAATTATTTATTCATATTCATACTGTTGAAAAGACCACTAAGGATGTGATTATGACACAAAGAGAAGGGGGAAAAAAGATGTGCACTTACTGCATGTCAAGAYTGAAATCATTTTTTATGCTAAGAATGACTAATGAAGGTCATTACTTGTCAAATGTTGATGCCTCCARACATAAAAGCGCCAGTTTTTGACAAGTAATTGTCACGAGGCATTTAGGCACAAATGTGCATGCACAGGGAGATTCTTTTTTCCTTCTTTTTTTGTGAATTCAAACGCAGTTTCAGAAACCGTAGAGTGAATAATGGTGTAAGGCGCAGTGGTGTGGTGGCTYGTACTGTCGCCTCACGACAAGAAGGTTTCAATCTGGGTTCACTTTGGTCTTTTTGTGGGGAAGCTTGCGTGTGCTCCCTGTGCATGTGTGGGTTTCCTCTGGGTGCTCTGGTTTTCTGCCTTTTATAACAATATTGAGAATCTTCTGGTGAAACCGACTGCCTGAAGTCAGGATCTAATGAACATCCCAGAAGAATGGGTTTCCTTTTCTGTGATGCTTTGCCAGGCTTTACTGCAGCTGTCTGGAGCTGTTTATTGTTTGTGGGTCTTTTTGTCTTTAGTCCTCAGCAAGTAAAATACAACTCAATATGGCTGAAACCAAGTGATTGATTTGCCTCTCTTTTTTTTAACTTTAAAATACCTCATGAGTTTCTTCTGCAATATGTTTTGGACCGCTGTCCATCTGTTCCATGAAGCAGCGTTATTCAATTTGGCTGAACCAGAGCAGGCAGTATATCTCTATCCACTTTATAATTCGTCTGACTGCTTCAGTCTATCAYATCATCAATACACACTGGTGACCCGGTGTCAGTGGAAGCCATGCATGTCCCCGTTATCATACTGTCTCCACATGTTCCACAGATGATRTATGGTTTTCAAGACTTCTTCACCCCTTTTTGTACACATCAGTCTGATTCGGTTTAGTTTTAGGTCAGTTTGTTCAAACATGTTATTTTAGGACTGCTTTGTTCTTTTAAAACTTTTGTTTTTGTTGTGAGTCAAACTAGGTGGGGGTGGGGTAAATATATATTTTTTCTCAATCTAGCTCCTTCTTCACACTTTGTACCATTTTAGCTGTTCATAAATGAAAATATTCATCTTTTTCTGGAGTGCAGTGTTATGATCAACACCTCCTTGACCCAGAAAGGAAGAAGTGGGTAAAATTATTGGATAAATTGATACTTTTTAAAGTATTTTATTTTACATACAAATATTTTCTTCAAGAACATCAAGATCTCTTCAATTACTTAAAAAATACTATTATTTTGCATACTGTACTTGCTCTAATTTTGTCTTTTTATGCTACTTTTAGCTTTTAGCCATTGTTTTACTAGTTTTAGCTTCTAGCTGCCTTTCTGCTACTTTGCACTTTTAGCTAATATTTTGCTACTTTAAGCTTTTGATCAATGTTTTGCTGTTTTTGGTTTTTAGCTAATGTTCTACAACATTTAGCATTTTGTTRGCCTCTTGATACTTTTAGCTTGTAACTACTGTTCATGTACTTTCAGCTAACCTTTTTATACTTTTACCTTTGAACTAGCCATTTACTATATTTTGACAGCTTTTTGCTTCTTTTAGGTTGTAACTATTGCTTTGCAACTTTTAGTAACTATTTTGCTATGTTTAGCTTTTAGGTAGCACGAACTGCTATTTTTGGCTTTTAATTAGTGCTTTGCTTCTTTTAGCTTTTAGCTTAGTGATGGGATAAATGGCTCTTTGATGGGATCCGGATCTTAGGATCTCCTTTGTTTCATAGAGTCATTCAAAAGAGCCGTTCGATTTTGAACGAGTTACGTCATCACGTAGGGAAATACGTCATCACATGTGGCGTCGTGATGAYGTCATCACGTTATGTGGGTGGAACCATGTGTTTTGTCAAGCAGAAACCCTCCTCTCCCTTTCCCGTGAGTTTCTGTTCTCCACCACTCTGCCTGTTTTCCAGGAAAAAGCAAAACAGGAGCAATTTAAGGATGAAATAATAAAGATTATATGAGGAATAAAATACATAAAACTACAAATGGCTCGTTCCTGCCCGCGACTCGGCTCCTATCGTTCGTTGTAAAGAGTCGTTCAAAAGATTTGGATCGTTCGTGACCATCGCATCACTATTTTAGCTTTAGTTTGCCCCTTTTAGCTAGTGTTCTCCTTTTATAGCTTTTAAACCTCAGTTTTAGGTTTGTCAGMAAATTCCAGTAACGTCCTTCAGTTCTCCCTCTGTATTTTTGCAGAAAATGCAATTTCTCTAGTTTAAGTTCAATGTTTTCTTTTCTTGAGGAAAGGTTTCTGAATGATTTGAGATGAGCCTTCAGCATCTGCTCTGATGAAGTTTCATGTGTTGATACTGATCTGTCAGTCAGCTCTATAGGGTGTTTTTCACTTAACAGGATTTAGTGAAGGGAGTTGCTTTACTGCTAAAAAGATTCCTCGTCTTTCACTACAGCTGTTCTCAGTGGACGTCAAGGTCTTTTAATGTTACTGAACTCACCAGTGCATGTTTTTTTTATTTATTTGTTTTTTTCAGAGAATGTACCAAACTGTTATGGCCATCCCCATCGTTCTTGCTGTCTCTCTGTGGGATTTGACTTGTTTTTGCAGCTTAAGAACGGCCTGTTTCACTTGCCCTTGCATGGGAGCTTGCTTGCCTACATCTTGTGTATTCACAGGAACAGCCTCCAAACAAACAAACAAAAAAAGGAAACAGTTCCAAACTATCTTTTTTCTAGGTGATGAATAAATACCAAAAGAAATGATCCATTTCTGTCCATGAAAGAATTTCGGAGTGAATAGTCCAGTTACAATTTAGCAGATGAAAAACACAAGTCTTTGTAATAAAACAAAGAGCTATGATTTCCCGGTACTTTAGAATAAAAACAGTCTGAACTTAAAGCCCGTTTTCAGTTTCTGGTTTTCACTTTCATCTATTTCTGAGTAAACAACAACAACAACAACAACAACAACAACAATAAAAACGCAGCCAGTGTTCAAAAATTTCCAAATCTATCTGTAAAATGCTTCCACAGACTAAAACAAGAAACTCCAGAGAAAGCTGAAGACTTTCTTTAAAGTAATAAACCAGTCTCTCTGGTCCCTGACCTTTCTGCATGATCAGCAAGCACTCTGGAAATCACACTCTGCCTGGCAGGAACCCACCCATGTTTTACACGGGGGCTTGAAATGGCTGCCCTCTGGCACTTGCTCATGCTGTCCTGCAGCGAGGAGGACGACCCGGAAGACAAAGCTTTGAATATAACAGCTAAAGTGTTCTTTGATGTTGCTTTTATTTCAGTATAGGCTGCTGCTTTAGGAATGTCACAAAGCCATGCTTGACATTTTTGCTCAYTTTTGTGGCGAGCCAATACCAGATTTAGTTTTTTCCTGGGAACTAAACTATGTTAGTATGCCATTTATTATCATTAAAGTAATTTTTGTCTWCTGGAACATGTCCCTCAGGTATTTTCTAACGAGAGGAGCTTTAAGTGGACAGAAAGTCCAGAATATCAGCTCCACTGCTTGGCACAGGGTTGTCCAACCCTGGTCCTCGAGGGCCACTATATTTTAGAAGTTTTTAATCGTTTGATATTGTTTTTGCTTTCTTGTTTTTTTTATTGCTGTTAGACGTTTAATTATTTATTGTTGATATTTGTTTATTGTTTGGAGGAAATCTAGATGTAAATTAGCTTAAGCCTAAATCTGGTGCAATGCATCATTTTTGCTTTTTTTTACATTTATGTTTTAATTGCCTTACAATTTAGAGCCAGCAGTGCAGTAAAAGTGAAGAGAGACATACAGACAAACATACAGGTCTGAGACTTACAGGGTTCTTCATTTAGTCGAAGCTAAAGACTGCATTAAAGCCTCAAGAGTCTMTTTGAGTGCTGTACCTGTTAAGGGCTATTTTATTACATGACTTTGATGAAGAAGCAGACACACTGGAGCTGTAGTCTCTGCACTGCTTGATTTAATTTTGGCTATTTGTGTGACCCACTGCCTTCTTTATGTAATTCTGCAGACAGGAACCAAAATTGCTCCCCGTGGAATTCTGCAGGTAATATGGACCGATGATGACGGGTTACCTGCAGAGTGCCACTGAAAATACAGAAAGAACCTCGAGGCCTTTCTGTGTCCCAGTGAAACGTAAAACCCAGTACCTGATGTGGTCATTGCAACTCRCAAGAACTAGAATTTCAAAGAAAGCATTTGAGCCTAAAAGAAGCAGAAGTGCATTTGCTGCTAAAAGAAGTGCATCATTTATTTTTGAACAAACATAAATTCTTGGCCTGACAAAGCAAAGTGTGGTTTAGAAGTTCAATACAGCATCTTCAGCTGCCTGTAGTTTGGCACTCACTAATGGCTTGGCTGAAGCACAGCTTGCTGTATAGCTTCTCAGATAAATGCATACACACTGTCTGGCTTTTAGAGCTGGSATCTCGATTTGTTTGAATCATATTACTGGTTTGTTCTTAAAAATTGGTGCTCCAGATTATTACCACGCCCCCTCATTTCCACTTTTGTGTTGTAGTGCCTTGTTAGGTGTATTACTTGGCTTTCCAGCAATCAAAAAAAGTGTTAAGGGTTTTATTTGTCTTTGATTGGCGCTGCCTTAAACTATGTTATTTCTGTTTCTAAACTAGCAGTTATGAAAGTTAATGATTAATTTAAAAATGCAGCTTGTAATTGTTAAAAATATTTAGTTTGAACATTTTGCTGCACAAGCCTAGTGGCAAATATGTTCAGCCACTCAGTGCCTGATAATCACTGTTTACCTCGGTGCCTTTTTAATCAAGGCTGTTTACAGGAGACGGCTGRCGGTTCAGCTCCTCTCTAGTGGCACTTTTCCTTTTCCTTCTTCTGTGCGTGCACTTTCTAATGTTTACCTCTAATGTACATCTGGCACAGCAAATTTACAGGCTGGGAGGTAAAAGGTGGACCTTTGTTCTTCAGTAAAACGCTATATTTCCAACTCTCTCGGGAAGCGAGCTCAATGGCGGCTTTCGAAAAAAAATCGTATAGAATATAAAAATAAATCTTGTTTTCGATGTGACAAGAAATGCAAAGAGGATGATTTAATTTAAGCGCCGAGCTGCTTCTCTATATGTTTATCACTTTAGCTCTTCTGTAAGACACACATGTCCCTGACTGAATAACAAATCAATGAAATCGAGTTACAGTGAGATGAGTTAAGGTCAAGGTTTTAGAATAAAACGTTTCAATTCTTTTATGGTGATACAGAAAGTTAAGGTTGACAACAGCTCACCATTAATTCCTGTATGTAACAAAGAACTGTAATGTCATTTTAGTTATTTTTTTTAATTTTTTTTTGTTTTTTAGCCATAAGAGATTTTWCTTATTCTTTGTGGCAGCTGGTGGTGAAGTGGTTGGTAATGTCCCCTTCACAGCAGGACAGTCCAGGATTTGGTGATCAGCTGGCATCTCTGGGCCTTTTCCTGTCTTAGCATGTGTGGGCTTTCTCATGAGACTTTGGTGAACACAATTAATCCAAACCCACAACCATGTTAGGTTAATTAGCAATTCTAAACTGGTCATGAGTGTTTGTCTGAATGTTGAGTTGGCCATGAGATGGACTGGCAACATGTCCAGAGCGTACTCCACCCCCAATCAAAATGAAGCTGGGATGCTGCTGATAAAGCCTGTTTATTTAAAGTAGGCAAGTTTATTATTACTGATAAGATATAAAAGTAACATAAACTAAAACTAGTAACATAAGGGTTACACTTTGCAATATTTTTGTTGCTGCCAACAATACAATTGTTATTTTTTTTTCTTTTTGGCTATATTTGACAGCCTACAGGAAAATAATGTTGTTCCAAAGCTTTTCCATTTCTTGTCGAGTTGATTCGGTTGCTTAAGGTTGAAAAAACTCTTTCTAGCAAGGCTTTGTTGTCCTCACTGTTGCTRCTTTTCAGCCAACAAATCAAGAAARCAGAATATGTAACCCAGGTAACAAAATAAACTAGAGCCGGAGTTGTCTRTTCTGAGTTTTCTGTGGCAAGATTTCTCAGACAGATGTTTTCATATCAAACAAAGAAAAGTATCTTTGTGAAAGAAGATCATCCAGACACTCACTGCTGCTGGTGAGCTTGTTGTGCTTTTATCACTCTACAAGTTGCAAGCGCGTTGTGAGCTGTTTAGTCTACACTGACGTGAGTGGAATTGCTTTTTGATGAGGCGGTAGGATGAAGTTCCCTACCAATGCTTTTCTGACAGAAAAAAAAAAAATAAAAAAGTCAATTGAAATCTTTGCAAKTGTCAAAAATTCTCCTGCAAACAGTGCTTGTGTGAAGAAAGAAAACAATGCAKTTTGGAACATAACACTAAAAACTGTTAAAGGAGCTTCCTTCTCTCTTATATATATATTTAACTTCTGTTTTTGACTCAGACCATCATTTGTAGGTCTAAGTATTTGGAAAATTCAGAATTCACACATGATGCTTCTCTCTTCACTCAAAGGGGTTTTCTGTGCCTGCACAGAATAAGTATAAAGTCAGTGACCACACACGTACGCAAAATCTAATTTCACACAACTACTCAATCCACAAGTTGACTTTCCTGCGTTCAGCCGAGTTATGCAAGCCCAGCACACAATCACCTGGGGGTGAAATTCTGTCGAGGCTGTTCCGTGGCTGCTGAAGCAGGAAAAAAAACAGCAACAATAGCTTGAATGACAGCAGTGGGGACCACTGAAATCACAGCGCCCAGGGACAAGAAATGGCCTGTCATTTCCAGTGACTGGCTTTTTTATTTCGCTTTGTTAATTATCTGTTTTTTCAACCAATGAATTAGATTTGTGTTTACATCTTTTTATGTGTAATTGTTCAAAGGGCTCCATGTGCAGTTTAGTTGAAAAGAGTTGCACGCAAAATGTTTGTGTTTGCTTTCTTTACTCTTTATTTGAAAGTGTTTCCATTATATACTGTTGGTGGTGCTGTTGTCATACTGTGCATATTTACACTTTTAAACACTGCATCTGACTTAAGATCACTTCTAGAAATCTCTTCTAGCCCTTTTTAAAAGCTGAATCCAATCCCACTTGTTTTTCTTTCTTTTTTTTCCCCCACTGGTGACCAAATCAGYAAGTCCTCAAAGAGAAGCACAAGATAACAATCCCTGTGGTAACTTCACTATTTCTATGCATCTTGAATCCCAGAACTTTAAAAGATACCTGCATACAGAGCTGGTAACAGCCCTAGAGCTGAAGCATTTATGATAAATGTATTCACTGGGGATTCTACGATGAACCCAGCAGTGCTCTGTCTTCATAAGTGCATCGTGCATATGCTAATGCTCCATAATATAATGACCTTCAATAGCCAAGAGCAAACTGAACCATCTTTGGATTCTATAAAGACTTCTGGGGATAATTTCAAATGACCTAAATAATTTTCAGTTACTGAGGGTGCCATAGATATTAATCCAGTGTACTCTTTAAAGCTGGAAAAGGCCAATAAAAGTGGTATTTTACTTACAAGCRTTTGAAATGCAGAAAACTGTCTAGAGAAGAAGGTGCATTAGCACTTCAGGGTGGTGTAAGTTGGGGCTTGAAATGGAAATTAACAAGAGCAAGGATCAACCGGGGTCAAAGAAAATATTTCAAAGAAAAGACAGAGGGAAGGACAAACTGCTAATGATTATGGGAGTGTGCTGCACATCTGCATCTTGTTAGCGAATAGTTAACAGAAGCTGATGAAGCGTATCAGAGCGTGACAGTACAGACCGTGGAAATGTGGGTCCAGGCTGAGGTGTCGTCGCTGCTCTGGCTGACGCTGACATCACACTGCTGGATCTGAGATAAGCTGAGGCCCAGAGCTCTGCATTCATCTTCTTCCTGCTCTCTTTTCAGGCTTGCCAGCATTCGGAGCTCCTCGTCGTCATCATCTGCATGCATCTGTCTGCTGCTGTAGAGTTGTTGGACATAATGACTTGAATTAACTGCCTTCAGCATCGCATCTCCGTCTTCTTCCTTCAAACCCATAAAACAGAGAACAATTACTTGGAAGCTAACAATTTATTTATTTATTTGTTTATTTAGCTCTTGTTTGTTTGTTTATCAGCCAACAAAAAGAGGTGAAAACCTTAACCACAGCTTAAGATGCCAGACAAACAGTAAGGTAGATGTGGACATGCACATCTGTTCTGACCCTCTTTTAACATTGGATCTATTGATTTAGAAAACTCTATGGTAACTTGATTTGTCAGACAAAGAGTAAGTAGCCTGGTGTTGCCCCGGTGGTAAATCAATGGTAGTCAATACACGGGAGCTGCAGGAGGGGAAACAAACTCCTTGTCATATTTCTTTGACAACATTTCACTCAAAGCCGTCACTGCATGCTGACTGCTGGAGTTGGCACAAATCAGCGGTGAGGAGCTGCACTGATGAAGGATRCTGCGATATCACTCAGCAGTGAGTTTTGCACATGCAGAAAGCAACAGCTATGCGACAGAACTCGCTTCAGGCCTTCTGATCACCTCAGCCGACTCTTCTCTGATTCCGGATCTCATCGACAGAAGCAAGGGACTACCTCAATTTTTAACAGGCCGAGTTTGATCCTGAAGACATTTTCACTAACCTCTTTGCCTGTCTAAACCAACTGAGATCACACGGCGCTGAACAGACAGGAAGGTGATGACATAAAAATTTCTTAATAAGCTGCACATTTCATACCTTGCCTCCAAACTGACATTTTATATCCCCAATGGGGAAAAAAAACATAATTTTGCAATGTGAGTTTTAAAAAATGTGTCAAAAGCTCATTTAGAAGCCTTTGATACAATTTATTTAATCCAATATATCCTAAACTGAACTTTATGAATTGAATTTTAAAGAAATAACATTAGTGTTCTGCTAGCTCCTGACAAACATCTGAATTTCYGAACAAGTCTGCTCACCTGTTCTCTTTCCTGACTGTTTGTCTGCCTGATGTTTGATGCAGGATAAACAGCGCGTGGTGGATTTATCAGAGCCTATTTTAGAGAAAACAGTTGCCTGCAGGGACTATTGAGTGTAGCTCAGAGTCAGGCTGTGACTGTTGAACATATTTACAGACAATGAAGCCTTAACAACGTGCTTAAAGAAGGTTAACACGTCCGTAAAGTTGCAATGTGATCCTCCTTCCTGTTGGGTCTATGCCCTTTCCTTTTTATCTTAGACAGGTATTTGAAAAACATAAAATCATCTATCAGATTGTAGTTATGATGGCAATTTTCAAACAAAAAGGATTTATAAACAACTACTTTGAATTGCAAATTTAGAGGATACTTCAATGGTCAAGTTTGTTTGCATGAGCTCATATAGCATCTTTAATGAGGATGCATTTCTTGTTAGTCTTGACACAATCGAATTGACTATACCGAGGTAACATCAAACATAGGCATCTCACACTGGGGGTAATTAGCTACGGTGGCCCACAGACAGCTATTCAGTTAATTATGAGAAGGAAATAGAAAATAATAGCTATTTATCTGCTTGATTTCAGACAGAAAAACAAGATTATATAGCTACACTTTGTGATGACTGTTGTTTGTTCAGAACGGAAGCATCACCTTGTGCTGTGTGGAGGCGCCCAATGTGACTTCTTCTGGAAGTTTCCTACGAAGTGAAACGCTGCTACTCTTGTCGAAAACACGGTCCACAAACTTTAGGTCGTGTGTGTTTGGCGAGAGGCAGCGAGTGGGGATCWTCGCTGCTGGTTCAGCTCTCCCATTGGATAGAAGCTCCGTGCAGGTGTTGGGCAAAAGCTGTTTTTGTGATCCTTGGTTTGTCTGAGAAGATCCAGGATGAGGTTCCRTTTGCTCGTGTTGAGTTGCATCAGTAGGTCTGGTTGTAGCAGGGGAGGGCATGCTAGATTCTTCATGGTGGAACACATTGTGGCTCTTATCCTGTGAGAAATACAAGTCTGTCAACATCTGTCTAAACTAATCATTACCTTTCATCTAATTAAACCAGGTTCACCACAAAAAATATATCAATTACCGGACTTGACACTGTATTGATAAGTAGGTTTTAAATTAACCTTGCATTTAAAAAGRTTTACAGTATTCACTTTACTTTTGCACATTTGTCCAACCTTCAAATTTAGAGTTAGCTTTCAATTCTCCAGCTTTAAACGTGCTGCCTATCAATGAGGTCTTGTAAGACATAATGTATCTAAAGCAATTCATGGTTTTTCTCAAGACTGGAAAAAAAAAAACATGTGGCTGAAAACCACAATTTTGAATACCAAAATTTAKCCCAGAAAGCTTGAAAGATCTGTGATGCTTTCTCCTTTACTGAGAATGGCAGCTGAATTCACAGCACAGAATTCAAATTATGACCCACTTTCACTGGAAAAGAAAAGAGTATCAAAACTCTTACAGAAAGTTCTCAAAAGGTTCAGCGTAAGTGAGCTGACCACGTTAGACGTTTACACCAAGGTAACGTGCAGTTAATGTAGCTGTAGCTAGCTGGGTCATTGAGACACTGATGTCTGTTCACTCTTTGAAAAACACCATGCAGGAAGTGTTTTTGGACAAAACATATATGATAATTCTGAAGATGTTGCAAAAAGTTTATCTCCATATACTGACAGTTTTCTGTCAATATGTATAACTGAGTAAAATCTATTTCAGCTGTTGTGAAACAAAAGTGACAACTGCTTCCATCAGCTACAGAAACAGCAAGCTGCTCACTTCAGAGGTACTGTTCAAGGCTGCACTGCACGGATGTTTTGTAATGAAGACTAAAGTTCTGTGGAGCATTATTTTAATGTTATTCTACACAACTGGCTATAAACCACAGCACATATTTAAAATCCTAATAGAGGCAACAAATTATATTTGTATATAAGAATACATGAGATCAATTAAGCTGAAAAATCCTGGTCCAAAACGAATAATTTTGCTCTTATGACCTCACTTTTCTCCTAAATGCACGGCTGCAAACTGCGCAGCGGAGAACAGAACCGCAGCCAGAGGGGTGGCCAGGGTGCTCCCTAGTTGATTGACAAGTCACTGCATGTCGCACAATTGTTGGTTTATATATTCTTTTTGAAGACACAGTTTTCCAACATTTATGATTTTTGTTGAATAAAATCTTGTTTATTTCGCTCAAATTTACTGTACGTTTGAGTTTGCTGAAAGTATTTCCAATTGTCGTGCTGTTAATGTAAAAAGGGGTTCATGCCTTGTCGATAACTCCAATGTGTGTGTGTGTGTGTGTGTGTGTGTGTGTACGTGTGTGTGTGTGTGTACGTGTGTATATTTACCCTTCTGTGTTTTCCTCCTTTTATCTTTCATCTCTCAGCTTTATTTTGGGGTGAAGGGTTATCATATGCCCCTGGAGGCTCACCAGCTCTATATAATATTTGTTTCCCTCTTTTCTTTTTTTTCTTTCTTTTTTATTTATTTATTTATTTTGCTTCAACATTTTCATAAGTTCAGGTGAATAAACAATGAGTTACATGTATTATTGAAAGGATAAAATGTGGGTGTGGCTGTGAGCAACTAGCAACTACGCACTTCACGAAGATACAGCACAGTCAACTGCTTTCTCTTTTTTATTTGCATCAAAACAATCGCTTTCATCTGAAAAAACAACAAATTTTATCTTGCTTTGTTGTTTTTGATCAATTTCAAAGTGTTTCGTACGCTCAAAGTTCATTGCTTTGTTCTGCTTTTAATATTTCTCTCTGTTTAGGAGCCAAAGTCTGCTCAAGAGAATTGCACAAACCTGACGCAACACTTTGAAAGATAATAATGCTCCAACTTAGAAAAAGAGCAACCTGCAACAAATGGGGGAAAAAAAATCAAAATCAGGTTGACCGGTACCAAATGGTTAGCTAAAGACAGATGAGTTTAACAATATTTACAGGGTGGCAGAACAGAGCAGCAATTGGCTGTGTAGTGAATCTTTCAAGCATTATTGATGTGTTGGCTTTAAGATGCTCAGACTTCCAGTGTAATCACTAAATAATGTTTTAAAGCACAGACATATTTAAAAAGTTTTTCCTCCACACAGAGCTGTAGAACGTCACTTTTAAATCTTTAACTGTAAATAGCTGTGAATGTCTCAAATGTTCTGTCATGTATTACCTGTCATACAGTTCCTACCTGAAAGTGAGCAAAGGGAACTGGGTTAAAACCAAGGAGTTTATATAGAACTGGAGTGTGCAGATACYACATGACYGTGTGATCGGCTGGTGAAGCTAAWGGCTAAYGCAAAACGGTSAAGAGTCTGGATTTCCCATTACTGTACATGTTGGCAAAACAGCAGAAAAAAGGACTGATGATRTAKAAATCATAAAAACTATYAATAATAATACCAACCCAATTATTATTAAGATTTTACAGTTTTTACAATCTATCTACTGTTTAAAATAATGTCAGAAAAGCTGTTTGTGTTATAGATTTATTAACAGAAGATAAACAAGAAAACGTCTCAACACAAGTCAGCAGATCTGATCTTATTTAGCTCAATGTGATCTGAGCRGAACATAATGTAACAGTTTAAAATTAAAATAATCTTATAAAGTTGATGTAATTACTGTTATTTATTGAACTGGTTAGCAGATATTAGCTTGTGTAGCATATATACAGAGTTTAGCACTGTTGAATCATGCTACAATTTAACAGAAACTATTAAATATTAGCCTACTTTGTCGTCTGATTAATATTTAGACCTACAGAGTGTAAAATAATATTATAAATGTGAGTATTTTTAGGTTTCTGTTAGAGGAACCTGACCTGTTAAGAAGATGTTAGCTAATAGAGACAAGTTTCATCCTATAACCAGATTGTTTACTGGTAAATATAAATTATTTTTTATGACAGTAAGAAGAAATATTAAATATACCTTATTACTAGCTGAAGTCATTATTTTTCAACTAGCTATAGTCTAAGTTACAGACTCATTATTACTTATAAATTATATATTTTTCTGGTATAAATCTGCTGTTTTACATGATTGTTGATTAAATTAACATAGTTATTAATTTAATGTAAAAACATGACAGATAATCTGTGAAACAGATCCAGTTCAGCTGCTGTTTATCTATTAGTTTCTATGGAGGCTGTGAGCTGTTGCCCTTTTTGGTCTCCGTTTCTGCTCCTCCATGCTGTCACAGACACTACCAGTGGACAGGACGGGCAAAGCTTAGTCTAGTGATCTACATATGTAAGTCTATGGTTAAAATATACTGAAGGAACTAATGAGAATCTAACAACGGTGTCAATCAGCAAACAAAAGCCTGGTTTGTAACTTTGGCTAAAAAAAACTAAAGAAGAAAAGCACCTCTCAATAAATCAAGAAGAAAAAAGCCCTGATGGAAAACTAATGTCAACATCAATTTGTTAGCCTATGAATCAATGGCCTAAAATAGTGACAAACAAACCAAGAGGACAAATGACACTTATCTATTAGACAAAAAAAAGACAAAAATTCTACAGACTACTGTAATTACAACCTAAAATGTCAACTAAAGTGCCTGTGACATGATTTCCTACAAATCCAAAAAGTGTTGTAATATTTAAGAAGTTTGGCATTATAAAATGATTTTACCCATTTTGTCACATAACTTTTTTACTTGGCGCAGCAGTAAAACGGGAAGTGACAACAAAGGAGAATGAAACTAAAATTAAATCAAATCAAGTCAAATGTAAATTTAATTTGTCATGTACATAGTAAACACAGTACAACCTGCAGTGAAATGCTTTAAGCGACAGATCTGCACAAACAGAAGCTAAAATTTTACTTTGAATAATATATTAAAAAATTGAATGCGAGAATGCACAAGGTGCAAAAACAACAAACGTCTACATGAAACTACTGATCTTTGTTTAGACGAACTGACTTTTTGTCTCTCTTTGACAGTGACAAGACAACCTAAAGAAACATCAGATGCTTTCGCTGCTGTTGTCAGCCAAATGTAGCGACGCTGTTTACATGCAGGCGTTCCTCTTTGTCATCATTTCCTGTTACCGCTCGTGTAAATATCTCAACAACTGTTCATCTCAGCTGCATGAATTTTATTAAAATTTTCTTAAAATATATAATTAATGTTTCCTTTTCAATAATGCATTTGTATTTATCATAAYAAATTTACGTCACAGACAGTAAAGAAAAGAAAAACCCAATGAGCAYGACTTCTTACAAAATCTGAGGGAATTTTCATAAAAACTGATTTAAATTTTCTTATTTTTTCTATGTGTGGTAACTCTGGCACTATTAAACCATCAAAAAGGATAACACAAACTAAATGTCTGTAACCTGGGAATTTGAGACACAGCATGCTTAAATGCAAAGCTATTATTCCACTGCATTGAAATGATCTCGTCTGTATGTACAAGTTGATCTGAAGTCATTTGTTCCTGCTTTCTTTTATATTGCCTTTCAGAGTGGTAAGAAAACAATATTCTCCTGAGTTTACAATGGAGCCTCTGATCAGCAGGACACAAAGACCGACACCGCCGCAGCTGCGTATATGTACGTGACTTTCAGCAGTTTAATATAAGAAATGTTTGCCTGCAGGCAGTTCACTTAGTAAATGTCATTATGAGTTACACAGAATCTCTATCATTATATAAGAATTCATTTAGCACATCTCATTACCTAACCGGTGTCTGCACGGCTTGTTGAGTTCCAACTTTGCCAACAAACTTTCCAACAACTTCCTTCCCTTAAACAAATCTTTAAAGAACGGTATAAGTCCGGTTATCCCAGTGTCAGCAAATGTCTTTATATCCAAATCCTCCTGTGCCYCATTCAGTGCAGCTTATCAAGCCAAACGGTGCAGCTCAGTGTGGCTACATATGGAGAGCCACACAAGCAGGGCTGGATGGTGCTTCAACCAACACAGCAAAGTTGCTGACTGTATTAGGAAAATGGTGAGTTGTTGTATATTTATGCTGTCCAACTATGTTAAATATGTGTTTTACATGTTTGCAACAAAGCTAAAGGTGTGGTTAAATTGTAGCACTTGAGATGATTTAATTATATTTTTAAGCAATTGTATAAAAATAAGCTATTGGCTATTATTGTTACAATAACTCTCAGTATATTAAATCCTGTGGTTTTGAAGCATTTGTGATAATATGCGGTTTGTAATTTTGTGCTCCACAAAAAATAAAATAAACTTTTGTATTAAAGCCACTATGAAAATGTATCATGATAAACACAAAACAGGAATAGACAAAAAAATGATTACATCTTTTTGCTGTTAGATTCAAAGAGAATAAATGACATTTTATCAACTCAATACTCCAACAAAACTAAGCTGCAAACCTCACTAAAAATTCTGTTCATTTATATGAAAMCGAGGCATCTCATTTCAGTGAGTTAACTCGAAGGTGAATTATTTTCCTGTTCCCGTCGTTTGTGTCATTTCATTATAAGGTGTTGCGATCTATTTTCACTCTCATCGGTTGTCATCAGTTCAATTCCCAGAGTGCTAATAAGCAGCAGTCACCACAAAGCACAGTGGGGTTTAAATATTAGGGTGGAAAATGAAATTAACCAACTACACAGTAAGTTTTACAATGACTGGCGTGCCGTAGCAGCAGGGACTTTTCCATTCAGACAAGTGTATGGACACATTGTTCTTGTTTGTACTGATTGTCAAGGCAGGTTTATCTGCAAGCATAAATGCATCAATAATAAAACAAAACAGTAGTTATATTTAAAAAAATGATATTGTGTTTTTTTTTCAAACCTGAGGTCACCCATGTGTACGGTGGAGTTTGTTTCTTTTGAAGTGCTCTTTTTTTTTTCTTTTGAAGTGTTCCGATGAATCCAGAGAAGAGACAACATGATCATTTGATTGCACAGAGAGAAAGATGCTCGCCTCTAACAACCTGTCTGCATGTGGGTGTGTAAGTGTGTTTGTGAGAGGGTGTGTGGGTGTGTGGAGAGAGCGTGCACATGAGTGTACCATGTGATTTCTCCCCCACTTGCAAAGCAAACACTTATACACAGGATGTTCTCTCTTCTTTTTTTTAGTTCTTTGTATCTTTTTTTAATCATGCACCGATTATAATAAASAACAGAAGTAGACAATTTGACTAAATGATGTAAAGTGACAGCCTAAAAAGTATTGTGCACTTTTCCCTGGTTTTGAATATAGTTATGAATTACTTCTTAAACCCTACAGGTAATAAATTTGAATTCCAAAGTAAATGTCAGCTCGGGACAGCGCTTCATGGGAGAAAAAGGTTATACCTGCACTTTACAAAGGTCACTATAAAAAGATTCACTTATTTTGAAACAAACACTCTTTATACTGTTTAACTTTGCAATACTGWGATCATCCCGGTGGTTTTGGTGTAACATACCTCTTTGCCAGCACACAAATCAAAAATCTGGATTGCTAACTCAGGTGTTCTTCTCAAATTTGAAGACTTTGAGAACTCGCATTTGTGTTTTCAAATGGATTTTTCATTAAATTGGTAGACCGTATGCATTACTTTAAAGCCAAAAAATATGATTAAGAGAAACTAATCAGGAGCAAAACAAAATGAGGCTCTTAGCTCTGAATTATCAAACTTATTATAAAGTTTTAAATAAGTAAAAGTAATTAGCATTTCTTTGAAGATAGGTCTTTATAACTTTAGTTCAACTGTTTAATTTTCCCACTCWGCATAAAAAACGCTGTTCTTTGTTACATTTATTATTACATTTAACAAAAATCAGCCTAATAATAAACCCACTGACCTTTGAGGGGAAATGTGCCTTTTGAAACATAACACTGCGGATAACAAAAACATACACTCCATTCTGACACTAATAGCTGATGAAAAGGAAATCTTAATTTTAAATGAAATTGAATTAAAGATAATCAAACAGTGCTGAGGGAAATTGTAACTAAGTTTGTTATTAATGCATTAGATTGACATAGTTCAGGAATAGTACTCAGTGAAGTATAAGTAAGTCAGGTTTTTATAAGATGCACTGTAAATGTGTCTGTGTTCAGAGTAAAGTGTGTCCTTCTCCGCTCTGCTACAGCAAACATACCTCATCGCTTTCGCTGCCGATAAAGTCGTCTTCAGGCTGGGCATGACGCCGCCCTCCTCTTTCGCTCTGGACTCGATCATCTCCCATCTCAATCTTTGCCTGGTCACCTTGGCTTTGCCCTCGCTTGGGTGAGTGCGGCGGCGATGAGAAAGTGAACAGCTCCTCTTGCAGAGTGAGCTGGGGCTCAGACCCCTCATTACTCTCCCAGCTGTTCCAAACCCGCAGGTCAGAAAGCAAACCTGGCAGAAGCTGAGACTCTGCTGTTGTGGTGACGGTGCCTGGACTTTCCTTGACAGGGCTGCAACTACGCTCATCTAAAATAAGAAAAAAATACTTTAATGTATATAGATCTAAGGGGAGGTACAGAGATCAGTACAGGTAAGATGTTAAACAAAAAAAATATTTATTTCCCTAATTTTGTTCTCATATATGTTTTTTTAATTCTTGTCATTTTGAATTTTTTGTAGGTTTTACTTGATAATCCTATTATGCAAATACTTTAATAAATAAACAAAAACGTCATGAGTCATCACTCATGTAATGACAGCTTCATAAAAGATCCTCAGAAACTGCAGAAACACCTAGTCTCCAAGTAAACATTGTTGTAATCCTGCTTAAGCTCGTTTTTTACACTGGTGTTAGAAAACCAAATGAACATCGGACACGGTGTTGTTCACTGCATAGCCAAGAGGGTAAAAATCAAGTAAAACAAAAGTTGCTTCARTTTGCGTGTGCATGTTAAAAACTATGAATCTTTATTCTCCGAGTTCAAAGACGGAGGCACCTAAATCTGAACGAGTGAGCACATTTGAACCTCTCGACAGTATAATCACTTCCTCTAATTGCCCACTGTGTGGCAAACCCTGGGCCCAGGAGATGTCCCTCTGACTTTTATTTAATGTGCCACATTACCATTAATGAACTAACTACTTTCCATCTGTGGGCAGGGCTGCACCAAAGGAGCAGCTGACTGCTTGTAGAGAAACCTCCATAAATGAGCTCTCAGAACACATGGGCTCATTTCGCAAGGACAATGTGTGAGTGTGTGGGTGTGCGGAGGGAGGGACGAAAGGGGGTGGAGTTCACAGGTTGGATTCAGGAGGGTCATGCGAGTGGCCCCGATGTGGGTTATATAAAATTTAAAAGGGGTGGGGGGCCAAAAGAGTAGATGCGGCATAGACTGAGCCACATTAAATTCACGCAATATTTTGAAGCGATCTAATTTATGAATAATGTAAAGAGAAGGAATAGKTTTTTTTTCTCTTAAGAGGAGCTGCTTATTAAAACCAGAATATGCCAAGTAGATATCAAAATCGCCAAGCCTGCATATCAATGTCTTTTGTCCTCTGTTCACATCCCTCGCTGTCCTATTATATTTTTTGCAACTAKCTCTCCATCTAAAAGTGTGCATTTATCCCTGCTGCCTTACCTGGGGTTAGACGTTCTGACTTTCCTGTTGAGGTCAGAGGCTGCTGTCTGCTCTTCTGCTGACTGAATGGAAGGGTACGTTGCTCCCTGCTTACACTTGTCTTCCTCTGGCCACCAACTAGAGGAGCTTAACAAAACGTTAAACCCCATAACAGTGAAAAAAGCAGAGGAAAGACACAAAATCCTACTCTAACACACACATACACAAAAGACTGTGTTTTGCAGAACATACGGGTTACCTGATGATGGTAGCCTCTCTCTTCCGGCACTGGCAACCCATAGCGTCTTACATCCCTGTTTGCCGAAGCCTCCCTTTTGAGGCGGGCGCGGCTGCAATTTGAAAGATGCTCCTACAAATAAGGATTTCAACGTCAGAAAAGCTTTATAACACACACACACACACACACACACACACACACACACACACACACACACACACACACACAC